GCTTCCCTTTTCAAAGCCTTTCAACCCTCCCAACACTTCCCAAAACCATGAACCTTAAAACTAAACTGTCACTAATCCATACAGCATCCATGATGTCATCCATGTAGTGTGATTTCCGTGGGAGCCCGGCATGTACTGCCTTGCAGCTTGCCAGAAGATAACCCTTGCTAAGGAATCGGCCGGATTTAGGAACAGAATTTCCATGCGCAGCAGGTTTTAGAGCATGTCGCTGTCAGAAGACTGGCAACTGAACTAGCACTAGAGAATTCGAAAAAGCTTCGGACAGGCGCAACAACAGAGGCCCATAAAAGACCGCTACCGTGACAAAAGAAAAGGAGTCGGTCCCCCAAGGAACTCAACGCGCCTGGAAAATATTGCAGCAGCAGAACTCAAAGAAGTCGTCGTTACGGCCGCTATTGATTTGCAGTGCTGGCAACAGTCGTACTAACAGTCATCTTCTTCCTCCTCTCTCTATTTCTGTGCAAGCATTGCGCGCTGATGCTACGCAGATGCTAGAGAAGCGGCAAGGCCTCCATCTGCAAGGACTTCTTCAGCTGAACTAGTTGGCTGTGCTGCTCGCGCAACATCAGCAAACGCTCCTAAGCAGACTTCCAACTACGCATAGGCCTAAAGAGGAGTGCATGCGGAGGGGCTTTAGGCTTGACTGCACGATGTAGGCAGCTCATCGCAAGAAAAAGGAGCTTTTCGCAAATTCACAAATGCCTACGAAACAGCAAGGACATGATGGGTGCTCTTCCGGAAACTCAGGACACTCGAACCTGTAAACCATTCTTTTCAGAGATGTCATCTTCCACAGTGCGAACAGCTGCTTCCACATATCACATGCATGTTCAAGATTTCCGCTTGCATGGTTGGAACAAGCCGTGCAGCACCGTGCGACATGGGTTGCACATGACCTGAGAGCCTTAGAGTTGTGACGCATCCATATCGGTTCCACACTTTCTAGGCGGTTGGTGCATGCCCAGGCTGCCCAGGGCGCGAGAACAAATGTGCTTCAACTTCCTCGCTGCGTCATCAACTGCGCATCGGTCTTTGTATCATTGTGGTTGGCTCTTGCTTCTTGCGAGGGTTCCCCACCTACCCTATCAACATTTACACGAACCCACGATGCCATGCAGTCGTATGAATATTCTACAAAAAAGGAATGAATCCGGTTCTGCAGTTGAAACCGTCATGCTTCCTAGCCGGCATATACAACTTAGCAAGGTCCAGGTCATACTGCCGTCCTCCTGTGGGCTGAGAAGCTCCAACGCTGCCCAAAAATCCTGAGAAAAACTCTATACATATCTGAGTCGATAGCATCGAAGTCTTTGATGGCTTGCATGGCGGCGGTCGGCTTCAAGCCGCCTTGGACAGGCTTCTGGCTCGACCTGGCCCCACAATTCCACGAAGAGGTGACAGAGGGTGGCTTGCAAACGTCTGGGGTCACACGAAGGCGGACCGTACTCTTAAACCGCAAGTCAACAGAAAGGTACGCTATGGCGGCCTCTGCTATATGTCCTCGATGCGAGGTAAGAAGAAGAATCAAGGATCTCGACCACGAGAAGGCCCGAAGATTGGCAGGATTTTGGTTTTAGTGGGGATATATAGAGGTTTATGTTGGGATTATATTGGGGTTATATTGAGGGTATATTTGGATAATGGAAAAGAAAATGGAAGCTACTATGGCTGAAAGTCTTAGGTCTTAGGATGAGGATCCAGGGTGCATTGAGCATGAAATCTCAGATCTTCGTACCTTGAGTCCCAAGTACCGAGGGTGCTACGTTGAACAGGTTTGGGTCCCAATGCTCAAGGCCCGAAACCGAAGTTTTCGAAGTTATATGAGCTATATTCTATACGAACCCTATAATACTCCCCTATTACAACCTCCCTTTAAGGAGTTTAGAGTATATGGCTCAGATGGCGCAAGAACAATGCTTCAACCTGAGGCTCTGCTTTTGGAAATTTGGATTCAAGGTTAAACCACTGGACAGAGAAAATAGAAAGGGGGATACAAAGATACCCAGGGATAGTATACAAGGTCTGAGCGGCCGCAAGGGATCATTATGCCACTTCTGCGGCCACCTTAACTCCGGAAAGACAACACACAACCCTGGAACCTCAAACTTCCAAACGCAGAGACTTAAATCCCTAAACCCTAAACATATCCATCCCCAACCAGTACATATTCCACACGAAGCATGACAGCATGGCCATTCGGCATAAAGTTGGGTGATGCTTTCTTCCAACTGCTTATCCTTCTGGACCAACACGGATCGGAGCTTGGGGAGCTCATGCTCCAGCACCTGCTTCAAAAGGACACAACCATTCTTCTGTATCTCTAACACACACAACAATGACCATGAAAAACCATAGTCATATGCACGGAAGAGGTTGTATAGAAAAACCACAGAGCAGTGAGAGCGATTCTCGTGACATTCGCATGGCACTGTGATAGAAATTGGAACGCAAAGAGATTTGGAAGAACGGTGTTTAATTTCCTGGCTATGCAAAAGCCGAGCTCTAAAGAACCCCAAATCCAAAGACCTAAACCTTACACCCCAAACTCCGCAACCTGGACCCTAAGACCTCAACCCGAAGCCCTTAAACCTATACGCGAGGCGTTTAACCCAGAAGGGTTAAACGATGTATTGCCAATTATTGCCAAGGGCGTCGCCCGATTGCGGCGCGCCAAGATCTGCTCGAAGGCCTGTCGACACTGCCAACAAACATATCATTCATCAGTAGCAATATGTCTGCAGATCACAAATATATGAGAAACTGATGGAATAATGTGGCTAATTACTCAGGCCTCGTTGCGGTTGGGATCTATGCAGGGCTGAGGACTCGCGAGGAGCAGGGTTTAGCTTTTTAGGGTTTCGGGTGGGTGCGGGACTGTCTCTTATGCGGGGATTTCCCAACATGAAAAGCAAAAAATGACGCAAGGAAAAAGAATGCAAGGAGCTGCTGGCTCAGTGAAGCATATCTGGCGGCAATACCCGGCGCAAGGTATTGTCTTATGCTGTTGTTCCTTCCAGCTCCACTTGCTGTAATCGCGCTTGTTAGGTTCTGCGAGGATCGTACGACTAGCACATGGTAGAAAAGCAAATTCTCAGAAGCCTTAGAAAGCCAGGTGAGGCTTGATGAGATGCAGAGCTTTGGGTTGTAGGGATTGCAGGGACTCAGCTCCAAGTCTTGTCAGTAGATATTAAGTATGACTGACCGGCTGGGCGAGAGCATGGAGTCTGACAGTACACTTGCAGCTCCCTCTTGCCTCCCACTCACCCTCGACCTGCTCGATGTGCATCCAGTCCTTCCAGTACGCGATCCAGCGTTGAAGGTTCGCGGCCATGTCCCAGGTCCGCTCATGACCAAAGCAAACCCGCATCAAGAGATCCTTCGTACATGGACTCATGTTTCGGGAACCCATACAGGGGTATCGTGATTGCCTACTTTGGCTGCTGCATGGCTTCAGCGCGTACATTACACTTCATGCCGATTTCGAAAAGGGCAGCCTCTGGGAACTGGAAGCGCTGCTTCACAAGTAGCTTCTGTGCCTGCCAGGGCCCAACAGATATGGGCTTAACGTTTCTTGTGCATGTACGATCTGATCAGGTTTTCTGTGTCATTTCCTGTTCTGAACTCTGGTCAGGCTTTACGGGCGAGGCTTTACAGCTTCCTGTTGGGCTTGAGCAGGTTCAAGGCTGTTTGCAGGGAACTCGACCATTTCTCAAGAAGTGAAGACTTCACCAGGTAGAAACTCTGCACATTACACATACTTCGGTTGCAAAGACACTGCACACTTGAAACCACAAAGCTCTCCACTTCAGATGTCTACGTGCATTTCAGGCTCCGCCCCGTGGACAGGTCCGACCCTGTTCTGATCTCTAGTCAAAGCCCACTTCTCACCTGACAAAACCCGATGATCCCTATGTAATGCTCCCATGCAATCTGCAATCGCCTTCTGCAATTCCTCGAATTGAGTGCCCCATTTCTCTGCGCTCGTCTTCACCTTGAGCACCGCCATGCATACCACCTCGGTAGTCTATGCCAAGGCCAGATCTTGGTAGTCCAGGGCTTGCGGCCGTTGGGATGCCATCGGGTGGCTATTGGCTGAAAGTTGCTGAGGATGTTTTGACCGTTTGCGGTTCAAGGGCAGAAGTTCTAGGATTAATGGGTCTGGTTGATTTCGTGCTTATTGACCTGTTCATGATCGTAATCCCTTACCTACCTCAATAACAGCCCCATGCAAGTCACAAGTATCTATGTACTCCTGAACATTCTTCCTGTCACCCTGCCAGGTTACTTACACTTCTCGCACATGGCGGCCCTCTAAACTCTAAACCCTAAAGTCTAAACCTAGCTGAAGCTCCTGCATCTTAGGGCTCCCGGCGGTAAGGTCACCGCTGCCATCTACAGCCTCCAGTCGCTCCCGGCCCTGAGAAGCTGCGAATGGAGATTGGGTCTAAATATTGGGTCATCTGGAGCCTGGAAGGAGATTCTATGTGGTGCTCCCTCTTTCAGATACTCCGCAATTTGGGGTTTAGGACGCTTCGGGTTCGGAATGAACGCAACAACCATGACTGTTTCAACCAGTCTTTCAGAAAATGTTGATCGTCATCGCACGCATGAGTTAGATCATAGAGTTTCAAGTTTTGGACCGGGAAGCGGAAGCCAACCGTTTGCTGGGTTCAGACGAAAGTTTCACAGCCGCCACCAAGCTGATTTCAAAGTGGTCTCCTGCTGCTGCTCTCATGACGATGAGAACCATCACGGCTCTTCAGTACTAGTCCCCTCTTGCTACATTTACTATGATTACTTCAAATATCTTCGAATGTTGCTTTGCATTTTCAGTCTAAAATGCGGAAAGCACTGTTCCTTTGTCCTCTTTTCAGCAGAGATCCCAACCCCTCGCATGGAATTCCAAACTCTTTGCTGGCTTTCCAGGTGTGCTTCGCCTGTGCGCGAAGGAGCTTCCAGCAGTTGCAGCTTTGCACAGGCTATCCTTCCAGCATCTCCTGTACGACATTCACTGCTCCATCGTAATCTCCCATAAGCCATAGCATGTACCGGACATCAACACCCATGCTGCGAGAATAGTCCTTGCTCCACTTGAACTCATTCATAAGGCCCTGGCGTTGCCGATCAAAGTTGATTCCCACAAGCTCTCCCCGTGCGTTCATGACCGGGCTCCCTGAGTTACCACCCACCGTATCAGTCGAATACAGCAGGCAGACAGGGACCTCTTTGGACGTCGAGCCTGGTGATGAGAGCAGGTCATATAGCCGATCTGGACAACTGAACTCCTCCATTCGCTCTTGATCCTTGCTGAGCTTTGCCTCCACAGCTTTGTCCAACAAACCAGCTAAGGTGGTTTGAGGCTTGCATAGGACAGCATCAGCAGCTTTGTAGCCTTCGACAAAGCCCGCGGACAATCGCCATGATCCATTGCAGTCGGGATACATGATCTCACTATCACTGTGCTCTCGTTGAAGCTCAAGTAGTTTGGCAAACAATGCATCTCGTTCACTCAAAAGTGCCTTGGATCGATCACGGTTGCTCGCATATGTCTCCCACAAGGCGGCTGCGCACTTCACAAAAGGATCTTGAAGTAGCTTCATCTGATGATCCTTGGCAGACACGTTGGCATCTTAAGCAAAGATGGCCTTCAGCAGCTCAGCATCTCGCAACGCTTGCAACTCAGATTGTTGAACGGTCGAACCCATGTTCGAGGAACTCCCTTCACCTCCGAAGGGCTTCATGACCTCAGCAACAGTTGCCTTCAGTTCGGGAGTCTTCTCCAGAGTGGACAGCGTGCCACTTCATGCGGATGATGAATCTCACCCAGCCGCTTCGCAAGTCGCTGAGCCAGAAACGGTAGATTGCGCTGCCGGTAGGAAGACTCACGATCTCCATCCGGCTTGGGAGATTCGACCGTGAGGTATTCATGCAGCGAATGTCCCACTGCCAGCATGGCACTGCCACAGTAGATCCCACGGCAGGCCTCCAAGGCATTAGAGACGCCTTCCATGGCCCGAAGCTCCTCGTAGATTTCAGCCAGGCGATCAAAAGCCTCCTTGGCTTTGGGCCCAGCCTTGGCACAGAGAGCCTCCTCTTCTTGCGAGCGCTCCTGCATCAATCCTAGCTTCCGCATCATGACCAATTTGCCCTGACTCCTCTTGTACTCATTGGCCAAACCCTTCTTGCTGTTGCCCAATTTCAGAGCTGCTTCATCTGAGTCCTTCTCATACTGTGCGATCAGCTGGAGTTTCCGTGCGAAGTCCGAAACCATGTGAGGGACGGCAGCTTCATCCGAATAACGGAGTCTGGAGGTGGGGGCATATCGCATGGTATGGCCTGGAAATCCCAACAGAAAAATGAAGTCACCCTCGGAAGCACCTTGCTTCTGCACTTTCAGAAAAGACTTGGGCTTGTAGGGCACGTTCTCAGCCGAATATTCAGCAGCCTTGCCGTCGGGACCCACATAGGCTCTCAACAAAGTGAAGTCAGCCGTGTGCCGTGGCCATTCAAAGTTGTCGGTATCGCCACCAAAGTTGCCTAAACTTTTTGGGGGGACGTATACGATCCTTACATCCTTGATCCTTTCATAGGTGAACAACACATAGGATTCGTTGGGGAGCATCTCTTGCACGTCACAACGTTTCCCCCCACTTCCCGAATCGTCTTGCTGTTGTGCAGTTTGGGCTATCTCTTGCATGACATCGCGAACACGGTTGGCACGCTTCAGCGGATCTTGTTCCGACCCGAGCACTTTGGTGACCTCTTCGGACACGTCCTTGCAGCGTAATTCGGACCTTGCAGCTCTCCTTGCAACGACTTGGCGACAAAACCATCCCGTACATAATCTTGACTGCCCTGTAAAGAAGCCTGTCGCACTGCATCATATGCAACATGCCAGTTGGTCAAAATCAAGCCATGCGAAGATACAAAAGAGCCTGTTCCACCATGACCGGCTGCACCCACTGATACAAGAGCATCAGAAAAGTGAGAGCCTCCTGCACTAGATGATGTTCCATCAATAGCGTCTGCCGATACTTTCAAGCCCATTTTCTGGAGCATGGGCTCCAGAGATTTCACAGATGTAATGGGCCATGTCCGAAACCGTGGAGAGGAGGCCACGCCGGAAGCTGCAGCAGTCGCCATGGTCACGGCAGCGAGACTGCGCGCAAAGCACGCACAGAACAGAAACGCAAACACGCACAAACCCCGATTATGTGGGAGTTTGTAAGCCTGCAGGTGATCGCACACAACAACAGCTAGAATTAGGTCTGTTTATCTAGCTTTCAAGCGACTGTTGGAGCACGAACACGCCTAGAACTGAGATGCAGGGCGGCCATTGTCAGAAGTCCATCCAAGTCAGGGATTGGTTAAGTAAGCCCTGCAGCGGAGTAGCGGATGGAACACCTACCGCCAAGACTATCACAACCATGACCATGGACCATGAGCACCAGCAGGACCACAAAAAAAAACATCACAACCATCACTTCTTCCACAGTATTTTTCTACAACGAGTACCGCTAGGGCCAGTACCAGTACAAGTCGCCTGTGAAAACTGTAAGCCTAGTGGGACTGTCATCGCTGCAGCCTGCACTTTAGAAGTAGGCAAGCACGAAACCAACAATCAAACTGCGAAAGCATCATAAATGATCGGCAAGCCTCACACTTAGACTGCCTTAGAGCACTGACTCTGGGGCTTCAACAGACAGCACGACTACATGATTGAACTTCTCCGACATTTGGAATGATAGCGATAACACAATAACACCAATATCCCCTGTAGTGGGGCGCAACAGGAACCACAGCATTTACAATACGGCGAATGGCAATGCGGATGCGAATCATCATCACCATTACCATCATCTCAACCATCATCCTTGGGGGTCCGCTTCTTGGGCCTCCTGCCTTTCGCTTCTGTCCGTTGACTCTTTAATGGCACACTTCAAGCTTGGGCGTGCATACTGGGCGTTCTACAAGAACGACAGATTGCTTTGAGAGCCTTTGGAGGTCTGCAAGAACATTATTCAAAAATATCAAAGGAACATTAGCACAACCACCACAAACACTGACAGATCACCTCAGTCGGGCGACCGGCGGCCTGGTTCACTTGTCTGAAGAACTCGCTCATGGCCTCGCTCACCTGAGTCGCGGTCCCCTTGCCGGTGCCCGTCATGCCAAGAGAGCAGACCCGTCGTTTTGCACATCAGAGAACCCTAAACCCTCAACAAAAGAAGCCCTAAATGGTGTGTTAACCTTTGAACCTTGAACCCCAAAGGACAAGGAGGCCTTCTCGCCGAAGGAGTTTAGAAGATCCCTGTGCCACTGGTCGTACTTGGCCTTGACGCGAGACTGCACCTGGCAATCACTTTCCCTCAACGCACCCGGGTTGAGTTGAGCGGGCCTGGCAGATGGTTTTTAGCTGCTTTAAGGGACTCCACAGTCACGATCAAAGGCTCCTTCCTGCCTTGGAATGTACTATGAGACTCTTATGCTGGAACCCTGGATCCATATTGAATGCATGGCCTTGCTGTAGTCAACCAGAATGGGGCCGAAAGGCATCTCCTGGTCGCTCACCGGGTGAGTTGCGTATGTGCCCAAACGCAGGAGTGCGTATGTGCCTGCGCGAGTCTATGTTGATGATGTCTATACTCTACGGGTTTATGCGCTGCCGAATTACCGTTCAAATAGAGTCATGTCTACGACTGCGGGCACAGAAGCTACAAGGCCTGAAAGGTACACATCAGGTGTGGAGATTCTTTGACAGCCCTCAATCCTAAACTCCACATTTCGCCCTGCTTTTGATGCTTGGAGTCTCCTGCTCGGAGCCCTCAAAGCGCGAGCTGAGCCACTGAATTTCGGTAAGCATGCCTGGATCATGGGGCTTATGAAGGAATGGCAGAAGGTTATATACAGCTCTTGTGAGGGGAGTGTCGTCCAGTTTATGTGGAACACAGCGATGATGCAAATGTGGGGTTGTAGAGTGCAGAACATCACAGAAGACAAAGCAGCGGTCGCAGCCGCTTGCAAAGAAATGCTTCCAGGAGAGCCTCGGTGAGTTCCCACGGCCTGAGAAACAAAGTTGGGCCTCCTAAGCCCCGGTCAGCTAAGCCGCTTAAATCTTAAGCAGCACCATAAGCTGCTTTCAAACAGGGACGTGAGCTCTAACACTCCCCAGTCAGGCCCCAGGCTGTGCCATCGGCTGAGATCGTCCTCAGCTCTCGTGCACACCGCCACTCTGACTCGAATCTTTCTCAGTATAACTTGTCCGTTGCCCTACTGTGATCCTCACTGTTTGGCTGCATCTTCTGCTACTGTTAGTCTGGCTGCTGCGACATGACCTGCCATGCGTAGGACTACAGCAACCCAGCGTAAGAGGACCTACATAGCCCTAAGAGGCCTGGGCATTTTTGCGGAGCCAGTCCAACTGCGCATGACATTTATATTTCATATCACCATGGTGTTGGCTTTGGACCCTGCGGACCTGTCTGATGGTGTCATCGCTCAGGCTCGGACCCCGAGTCTCGAAAGCACCTTACGCAATCATCAGCTGCGGCACATGTAAGCCCCACTGCAACACCTTGGAGTCAAAAAAGCACCGCGCTTGGGCTGCCACCGCACTTGTGTTGATCTCCCACAAAGACTGGTACTGCATCCAGCTTGACACGTAATCCTCACGTGGAAACGGGTCTTCGTCGCAGGGCTCAGGTTATCCATACGGATTGGCTCCAAGAAGTAAGGACTCCTTCAGGTTGAGCGTTAAAAGTTTCATGGTGCTGTAGATAGGCTTCAGGGTTTCTCACGAGACGGGTCCTGCATGTCCTCCACCGTGCTGCTGACCTGCAGGTAACCCTGTTCTGGCAGATGCAAAAGCACAGAGAATGTCAATCTGTCCTACTAGAAGACACCACCTGTCATGCGATCAAGATTACCTAAGAAAGATGCCAAAAAGATGCGTGCAGCCCACTTAGCAGGAACTAGCAGGCCAAGCTGCATGGTCGTAGACCTCCACAAGGATCTTCTGATCCAGCAATGCCTCCGAAATGCCAACGAAAGTTCAGGCGCTACTGCTTCTTGGCAGTGATGCATCGCAGGGGTCAGAAGGAATCAAGAAGCCAATACTGCGAGAAGGATAAGGTCAAGACGGATGGCTGTCAACTCAGCGTGCGGCAATGAGACCACGATGTGCTGCCGCTGATTCCTTCGCGCCGCGCCTAAGCACGTCAGAGGCAACCCACCGGGACACGACCATCAATGGCAATGCAGATGTAAGTAATTTTGAGACCCGCGCTCTGAAACAATTCAGAAAATCCTCCCGGGATCCCTTATGTAACCATAGACTCAAGGCTTCCTGGGTGTGGGACTTCAAGGTGTCAAAGCGTGCCGCTTGCAGCAAAGGCAGGTTGCAAACCATGCCCAGACCTGGCAACTGGGCTCCAAACTTCGAGGTTTCCGAGCCTGGGACCTTGAAACCCTGGGGCCCAGGGTTCAGCTTCAAGGATTAAACCTTGGGCTCCAAAAAACTGTTGCTGCGGTAGAGGGAGTCCTGAAACTGCAGCCTTGCCTCATGGTCCTGACGACAGAACCCTGAGCAGTCAGAAGCTACTTCCAAGCTGATTGATTTTATCCTGTTGTCACAAGTGAGATGAGATCCAAGATGGCCACAGTGATACCCTCCCTTTGTGTCACTTTACCCTACATACCCCACTTAGAGGTACTGATGAACCTTCAAGCGGAACTGTTGATCCTTCAACTGAGTTATGGCAAAACAACTACAGCTTTCAGGATCGTCGTTATAGCTAGGAGTCCAGCATTCAGCCTCAGAAAATAAACCAGAGGGGCTAGTGTCTCAGTAACTACCAAAGTCTTGACGACATGTTGTTACAAAATAACATGATGAACATAATCCACCTCATGGCCTTTGACATAAGGTCAGCAGCTGCTGCTGCAGCTGATAATGATTGTGCTCGTACCTACCAACACAATATGCGTTGGCACAATTAACTGTACTTGTTTTGCTGCTCTAGATCCGTGCAGATACTGCCCGCCAGTCTGAGGGACCTTCTCTGAACTGAAACCCCCAAACCTAAAAATGCCGGGCTGGCAGTCGTGGTAATGCTTTACCCAGTGGGTCATGGCAAATTCCTTCTGCGGCTCGAGCACCTTCAAAAGCAACAGACAATGCCATTTAGAAAGGCTTTGTCAACAAGAAGCGCACTTGCTTGATGTGGACTGAGCTGGTGAGCTGGCAGGGGAACTTCGTAAGCAAAGGATTATCCCAAGAATCTATGTGAAATTCTGAATTATGTGATAAGCTATGTGCTCGCTGAGCCCTCCCCTCAGAAGCCGGCCAATCGTACGCCCGAGTGAGAGGTCCTTGCTTGGCGAGTAAGAACTTCGCAAGCAGCCTATAAAGGAGGCAGGAGTTCTGGCTATCCTTAGTAAGTCTCAGAGACACTTCAGGCACAGATCTTCACTGACTCATGTGAATGCGCATGACGATACTCATTTCGCTAGTCCTACGACTGTGACTCCTGGCATAGCATCTCCTTTGTAGGTGTGAAGCTGCTCTTGGGAAACTGTTGGACCGAAGGTTGAGATTTAGGTTGATGCAAGCGGCTGCATATGCAGCTCCAGCACTGCCAGCTGCACAGCAGCTTCCTGGTTGAATGGCATTGTGGCTTTTGGGCTTCGGATGCAAGGTTGGGTGTTCAAGGTTGAAAAGGTTAAGTCCGGGCTTGTGGCGCCAAGGGGCTAGGGTCTTAGATTTGAGGCTTGGCCCTCGCGGCCATGAGCAGTTGAAGCTGTTGCTTCAAACAAACAAGTCCTGATGAGAATGAACGAAATACGCGGAACCAGGAATTCTCAGAAACCCTCCAGAAACCCTCGTGTTGTGCTTTTGATCCAACCTGGATCAAGTTGTTGCCGTTAAGTGGCCTTGGCGCACGTCTGCTTCCGTGGCATTTTGACTAGCAGCGCTTGCACAGCTGAGCCACAAAGGCCTGCATTGATTTCTCATGCCTTTTTTGCCACAGGACTCTCGTACCCGGACCCCTCAGAGACCCCAAAAGTGGAACCTCCTTATAATCCCGTCGGTTGCCCCATGCAGTAATGGGATCAACTCTCATATTTGTTAACCGAGGTAGAGATGGTCATGATCAGCTCCTGGCCACTTCTTGAACTCCTGCAGCCACTGGGCGCTGATTGTAGCCAACAGCTTCAGCAGCCTCCACGGTGACGGATCTCCACAGTGACTCACGTTGACTCAGCTTCACATACCAATACAAACACGAAGCATCGCTACGACAGGAAATCTGCAACACTAGCAGCGAATGCCGAAAGGGCAATCATGAGGTTGGAACAGTGTCACTGGCCTTTGCTCGATCTGCTTGTTGAGACCTTGTACCCAGGCATCCATATTGGAGAAGCTCGCCAAGTTCATGTCCTCCACATTGGTGGGCATGATACTGCGTCAAAAACTTTCAGCACATTGATTCTCTTGTGCTCAGTATCTAGGGATCATGAGGAAAGCAGTATCGTACTACGCCTATCTTGCACAAATCCTCGAACAGGAGGGTCAAGCAAACTATCAGGAAGACGGTACATCTCTGCGTTTGCTAGGATTTTATGTTGCGTACGTCAAACCGGAACTTTACAGCTCGGACTGCCTCCAGCAAGACGAGGCTGTAGTCAAAGCTTGCCAAAGAAATGCTCGAATACACTCGCAAACAGGGCCCTGGAGCGTGTTTGTTGAATGGCAATAAGCCTTCAAAGCCTGAAAGGGTTATGGCCTGAAGTTTGTGGAGGAATTTTGCGGGTATTTGCTTTAAGGCATTTGTGCTCTTAACAAAATTTCAAGAAAACTTCGTGGCCATCCTGAAGCCTGGCGACACGAAATCATTTCGAACAAGATATCGTCCGGTAAAAGAAAAAACCGCGCCAGGGTACCACTACTCTATCCCGCGGACTGCCTATAAGTAGCTGGTTTCTGCTGATGACTTTGCAAGCGTACGGCCAGATTATGGTAAGCATCAGAGGACACCATACTCTTGTCTACACCAGTCACCTTTACAAAATAGTGTTTGCGAGTATGAAATGCCTGAACATAATTTCAAACAACCGAAATCCCCAGCAACTTTGTTCTGCCAAACCATTGTTCTTACTATTCTCAATTATAGCGTTTATGGAAGGGACAAACGTCACTCCAGGGGAGGTGCGGTTCAGTGCAAGGGGAAGGCAGCATCGGTCATCCACCATCTTCTGCATCTTCTCAAACTTGGCTAGGAGCATCTCGTGCGCGTTGGCTTCTTGCCTCAACATAGAGCAAGAGACACTCAAGCAAGGCTTTCTCTGAATAGGGCGACTTCGGAGCCCTGAGGATACATATACATATATATATATGTATATGAATCACAAAAGGATGATGGGGATTCCTGTTGAAGCATGTCTAGAGGTACACAAGTAGTGAAACTGCAAGTCGTGACAACAAGAGCATTGATGCTCATGCAGAGTGAGACAAAAATACAAGATATTGACAAAGCATAGGGCACACGATTACATGAAGAATGAAAGGAGATTGCTTTCTCGGGTCCTGGCCTGATGTTGACATCATCGAGGCTGTCGATGGTACGGGACATTTGCTCAGCCATTGATTCCAGCTCAGTGAACCTCCAACGGTATCAACACGCACACACTGGGGAGACAACTGCTAGCCAATGTTCGGCAATAATCATTACATGGTTGCTTGAACTGCTTAGGCCCACGGCTTCTGCTGAAACTGGAAGACGCTTTCAGACAGCTTCTGGGTGTAGCTCTCAATCCTGAACAGCGCTCAGCGAAGGAAGGAACCCTAAATTCCCAACAAAGGAAGCAGCTGATACCCCCATTTCCCGCAAATGGCCAGTATGGAGAACAACTTGCCAAACAGACATTCTGTTCAACCACCTGCAGACATTAACTCCCCAATCGCTAGAGTTTCGACCTCAAACCTCAATGCCCAGAAACCCAAAGCCTTTGGCCCAGCCCAAAAACCGAGATCTCCACCCGAACGTCAAATGGTCCCTGTAAAGCCACCGGAACCAACATGACTAATGAGATGACTGCCCACGGCATACATGCTCTCCTTACTACTGTGGTGCTTAGAACCTTCGCTCCTGGTCTTACGACACTACGCTTCGCTCGCAACCTTGAACAGTTGAGAATTCAGTGCAACTAAGATCTTCTTTGAAGGCCAGAACACAACAGACAACTCTAGGCATAGCCAATGCACTTCAACCCGGCGAGCGTCTTCTGGTCATCCCATTTCAGGTGAAGCCCATCAGCAATCAAGTCCTCCCAAGACCCTAAAACGGGTCACAGTCTGGAAGTCTCGGGTTGGGGGAGGGGTTGGGTTGTAAGGACTTGCGTTTGGGGATGCCATGCGTTTAGATCCAAATAGGATCCAAAGCCGGATCCGCAAGATCTCACACTGCTTGGGACAGGAGTGAGCAGCAGTTCCAAGATGTACCTCAACACTTTGGCTACTTTTAGAAGGTCTGCACAAAAGCAGTCGCTACAATTTGGAAGTTGAGTTAGGCTTCTTACCATCGATGTCCTGCACGCCCTTCTGGAAGGATGCCATCAGCGGTGCCAAATCCTGAGTCCCGGCATGGTGGGATCCCTAGGTGATTAACAGCCGGATAGTAAGAAGGCTACTTGCCAAGGATAGCAAAGCAAAGTGAGACCCGGACGCCAGTGATCTGGGCGCAGGTCTGCATGTAGGTACGCGCAGCCTGGAAGTGCTTGAACGAGTAAATCTTGCGTAGAAATCTGAAATCTAGGGCCTTCATGTTCTAAAGCCTACAGAACATCCGCAAGCTGAAAGAATAGTTGGCCAGCTTGCAAAGGCTGATCATGGCAACAACCGAAAAAGTCACAGCCAGGTTTACGGTCTGAGAGGTTGGTGAGGTATGTACTACTGACAAGTAGCCGGACCGTGTATCACACAAACACAGCCTGCTACAGCACGAAAAAGAACACGAAGAAGACCAAGACTTCTGTAGAGGAACAGGAACAGGCGTAAGCACAATGGTAGTCGTGGGACCAACAAGGATGGATGATGTATTAGTGACAGCAAACATGTTGCATTGAGAACGTTAGCTACGCTTCAAGCTCCCGCGCCCTTCGTTTCCCAGACTGGGCTGAACCTCTTGCAAAGTCATGGCAAACGGGTAGTTCTGCTTCGCTTCGTCAGAGTTCACCTGCATGCTCTGCAGAAACTGAGGTCTAATTGGCTCCTCGAAAACTGTGCAACGAGGTTATATAAGGACCTTATACAGGTGATTATGGGTCTGTTTACAGGATCTTAGGGTTTGAGACCGATTTTACTGTTTTGGGGTTAGGGTATCACTTCTTACGACTCTTCCTCCGTGTTATCCATCTTTTGGCATGAAGTATCTCACTTTCCGAGAATGGCCCTACACAGGCACCTCTACTCTATGGGAACTTACCCAAAATAGCATTTGCGAAATTGCACAATCGCATTTCACAGGCCGGGCTTTACGTTAGCAACCCAGATGTTGAGACCCACTCTATGATGAGATATAAAGAAATCCCAAACAACGTCTCTACGTGATCGTGTATTCCTAAAACACCAGTGCAACACGCAGGATGAAGGGTGAGTCAATCGCACTAGTCAGGAGTCAAGCACAAGTCAAGAACAGCCAGGAGACGCAGTTGGGAACAGACCCAGCATGTGTCAGGAACTCGAGTGTGTAAGTTGGGAACAAGCAGGGCTCGTGCCGGAAACTGTCCACGCCGGACTGGGACCCTCCTCAGAAGCAAGAGCACCAGCAGTCAAGCAAACAGCCTGGAAAGACCAGCATCGTGATAGGATTTTGGGCAAGATATGGGGCACTCCCATGTTTGGGCCGTCCCAAATATGTTTTTCTGACTGACACGAACGCCACAGAAGCCTCCCAAAGAAGCATGCCTGAAAGACCCAAGCCTGCGGAGGTTTGAGCCCAGATGCTTGGGACCACCGGATTAGGGTGGTGCAACGTTTCAACCTTTGGAGATCCCATGTGGTGAGAGGCCCCTTCTGCTTAAATGCCTCTCCTCCAATCCCCCGCCCAGGGGCATCCCAAAGGTTCAAATATTCGCTTGGCGTCCTCTTAGTGTCATGACTTCCTCGTTTGCTCCATACGTGTGTGGCTGGCACATGTTTCCAACTCATACCTCGCACTCACGGCAATGTGTTCCTCAGGCGCTTTTTGCCTCGTTGCAGACTCCCCGGCCGCAGTGCCGAGTAAGCCGGGGCTGACTTGAAGCACATGACGCTAGCTCGACTAACATCCGCCAAATGCAATCACCTGCGTACGCCACCCGCACGCCACCCGCACGAGAGGTCACCCTGCCTTGATGGCATATGGAACTCGATAGTCGCCCAGGGCTTGTAAGTTCCTCACCTGGGCTCAGGAGTGTGGGGAATGTCGAGGGATAAGGGTTCAGGGTTTGAGGGATCAGAGTGCTTGCAGTGGGTGTAGGGAGGCCCACATGGAGATCAAGATTCAAGATGGATCAAGGCTTCAGATTTAGGATCCATAGAATCCGTTGTTTTCAATTCCAAGCATTTTTTTGAGTACCAAAAAATTCCCGAACCGGACCACCATGAGCGAGTATGCAATATTCTGCTAAGTTGTAAGTTTGATGTCTTTCTGATCACTTTTCTCTCAAGCCATTGCCATGTCTTGAGTATAGGAATGGGCAACGTAATTTTACTACTTTTCTTCGGCAGCACAAGATGATTACCTCTTGCCAAGCTTGTTAAACCCATGCTAAGTCCGAACGCTGCAATTGAACGAAAGCAATGATGGTAACAACTTGTAATTAATCGTTCAGCAATAACTAAGAGAAACAGCAAATTCAACTCCTTTGGCAGCCTCCTTGAACAGGGTGATGATCTGCTCGTCAAAGTTCACCAGCAGAAGGTATGTCCTTACTCGAAGACACCAGAACACTGCTTGCATCCCAGAAATTTGGAAGGCTGGGTGCTGCGCTGGTAGCCTTGCTGGATGTCGAAGATTCGCATACTCACGTCGAACTTCTTGGAATCCTGGTTGCCCGCATGACAAGTGAAGAGAGTTCTATGATGCCAGGCTCAGGGGATCCCAAAAAATTCAGTCCCTGATTGTCCTAGCCTTTTGATTTAAGCGAAACATACTGGCTAGCGACCATCGACATTTACATCCACATTACATCTGGCTCCGGGTGAACCCTGCATTCGTGACTGGAAGAAGGTGAGCAAGACCAGGAGCAACTCGCCTTGGTGTCGGCAAGCCACTCTTCGAAGATATGGCTCGTCTTCATCCTCAGGTGAACATCAACTCTGCACAACGCATGGGGTGAAAAAGGCGATGGACATTTGCTCTGATGGGAATAGGACAAGGCTTCTGAACATAGCTCTTGTGGTAAGAAGTTGTATCGCTATATATCAACAAGGCCTAATGAGCGGCAAACGACATTGATGGAGCCCATCATGAGTGGATGTCGCACGAGTTTTGGAAAACAATCTGGCTACGTTCTGAGCAGGGATGGGGTCGGCACAGAACGCTGAATACGAAAACAAGCAAGAACCCTAAAGCCTGACAAAACAACTCTAGACGAAGAGTCCTGAAGCACGTCGCCTGTCCTCTGCTTAGCCCTGGTAACCCTTTCATAACCTGTTTCCGACCGGCACAACACTCATGTTATCCCTTTCAGCTTCTCAGCAGGGCATCTTTTTGGCGAAGGCGTCACCCTCTTGCTTCAAGTTCTTCCCATCCACATGGTTCTCCCAACCTTTGCCCAACACATCCTGCAAGGCAAGCGGGCTTGACCAAAACTCAATGCTAAATGCTTTGGGCTGGTCTTTTGAAACAGCAGGCTCCGACTTGGGCATTCAGCACCGGAACCAGGCTCGATGTTGTGCCTTTGGGACTGAAGTAGACTGCCAGCAACAGCAACAACAACGAACACTCACTATCAGAAGGATCCTAAAGGGGCTGGCAAATGCACTCACTATCTTGTGGAAAACATGCAGGGTCCTCCACTCGGCTCATGTACAGGGCTAGTCGTCGCTCGAGCTGCCTCCCAATTCAGCTTGCGTAGCTGCACATCCATACTATGAGATACAGGCAATGGTCCCACTAGCAACACAAATGGCAGCTAGGGCAATGATCACGAACATGAACAGGATGCCTGTAACAGGATACCCACAAAAAAGACCACAAATTCGGAAGGCGGCTACGCATCTTGCATGCCTGTAATAATGCCATTCACCCCACGTATGACAAGCTACTTGACAGCCAAGGCCCCGCCAAAATCGCAGCACCCACATGGAGATCCATGGTAAAAATGGATCTCACAGCAGAACCGGTCTTAGGGTTTAGACTTGCCTGGCCCAGATGATGAGGCCAGCGGTGGGTGGCAGGCCACGTATGGACGTCAACTTGCAGGCCTTTAGAAACAGGTGAGATAGCAGAGTCTAGAGCTCAGGGCTCAAGAGTTTGGGCATTGGAGTTTAGGGGCTTGGTGTTGTGGAACAAGGTGCAGGGGCAGGGGACTAGCAAGTAGCTCTGCGCAGGGTTAGACCAAAGACTGCTCGCGCCACATCCGTTTGTTAATAGGCCATACTTGCTACAGGCTTTGCATTTCCCATGATTTGGCAGTGTCCCTCTGAGATTTGAACCATGAACCTACAACCCAAATCTTTTTGAAGGAGGAATGGAGGGACCACAGCTAACTCCACAATAACCGTGCAAATTCAAATATCAAAAAAAACTGCAGCCACGGTCACGCTGGCAATATTTGTCCACAGGTAGAGACAGCAAAACTAATCAACTCAGTCAGAGAATCTACATGGGACAACTGTTCCCGAACACACAGAACCTTCATCCAGAAACTTTGAACTCCGAACAAAGAGCCAAACCCCAAGCCCCAAATCCAAAACGCCTATCTGATAGGTGCTGCTGATAGGTCCTATCAGCAGCCCCTTAGACCCTGGAGAGCCTGCCTGGGTTCCTTCATAGGTCTCCTTGAACTTCTCCTGCAGTCTGTGAACGTCATCCTTCACCTCGGCCCATATCCAGCAGAGGCTTAAGGGTACAGGTTTGGGCCTTGGGGACTCTTAAGCTTTAGCGCTGGAGGCGTAGATCCTCTAGGGTGGACCCTGTATCCTCAATCGACCGAAGAGGCACATGCCCCAAAGGACCCTGCCATTCCTGAATATAGCACCAAGTATGTGGAACCCTATAATACCCCTCACACTCCTCTAATATCTGACCATCTCATCCGTCGTGCCTGCTGGATGAGTGACGACTGGTACTCCTGCGAATGCGTTGGCTCACGGAAGCAGAAGCTGCAGATATCCAATGTCATTTCAGTAAACGACGGCAAGATATGACTTATTAAGGCACCTATATACTGTGCTTCAGTAAATGTGTTGCTATATGCGTGTATACATGATACAATATAGGACTTCCTGCTTGTTCAAGTTGTCTGCTGCAAGAACCTTAGGTCGTGCCTGGATCGCCCTGCGGATGCGTGGACGAACAAAAAGCGCGTTGAAGCGGCTGAACACCCGGAACATTTCCTTACTGAGTGCTTGATGTGGGAACTGTAACTCTCATGCGACCGTCATCGCCATCAGTCAAAGCTGCAGTGGCAGTCTTGGCGGCCCCCAGCTTGTCACGAAGCCTGCAGAGGGGCGAAACACCCGCTGCTATAGGGGTCTTCCACAACAAAGTGTGAGTGTTCTAATTTGCGGGTACCATATTTTGACATGCGTGCTGTATGGTACATCAATGTATACTGCCATGGCAGTTGGTCCACGTGCCCTTCCTGGCCTTGCTGTGATCTCACTCTCGGCATGATCTATGCCTGAACCATGGCGTTCTCAAGCCGTCCAGGAAAACCAGCCGCGAAAGAAAGGACTACAGGGACCATTGCGATTTGTTTTTGGAATCATGAAGGCTGCTTGTGGGCTTCAAGTTGTTGAGGGATTCCAGGTTAGTTGTCTTAGGGACCCTATGCCCTATGTGTGCCACAGCATCGCAGCACAAGCTGCCCTAGAGAACACGTCCCATGCTAAGCCCCGCACGTTCATCGTAACGCCGCTGAGTACTCTCCCACTCCTGGCCATCTATGCCATCTGTCACTGCAACAACTACTAGAGAACACAGAAAGCACGGTGCGTGTAGTTCCCCTGTTCTTGCACTGATGGTGCAATCCTTACTATCAAGACTTAAACCCGATGTCTTGTCTTGCTGTGTCCCCTCCGAGATCCAACTGCCAGCATTGCTATGACTTGGGGAGCTGACGAAGGGTTCGCTGGACCTTCTCGTCCACAGCACTAACCGGAGATAAGGCACAGGTGAAGGTCCACCGGCCGACGAACAAACTCTCCCAGCACTCACCTACTGTACGGCGACCAGATCTAGGACAGCTTGGACCAACCCCGCACGCCCGCAGCCTGCGAAGGGCGACACCCGCGGCTCAGCAGCTCAAAGCTCAAGTTCAGAAGGAGCAAGCAACAGAAGCGACAGAACAGCAGCAACAGGCATGACGGGACAGGCACAGGCCGCAAGGCACCAGGAGATGCTTACTTGAATCGGCCCCTTCCAGAAACCATTATTCCAGCCAGGCATAGCACTGTGCTGGGACTGAAAGGAAGCTAAACGTCCAAGTGCCCAGTGAAACCTGGGTCAAGCACCAACGCTGTGATTGCGAGGAATACTGAGAATAGTACTACACGCATTCGGCCACACCGCAAGCCTGCTGACCCCGGCGGCTGACGTCCAGAACGTCCACCTGCAAGAATGCAGCTGGAAAAACTGGACTACCTCCAACGGTCCGAGCTGTGTCAGCGAACCCGCTCTACAAGCCACGAAGCTCCCATGGAATCCAGACGTGGTTTCGGGTTTCGGGTCAGGGGCAGGCCAGCTTGGAAGTGAGGGCTTTCCAGTGCAGCAACAAGCCAGGATCGGCCTGTCATTACTCACTCGCTTCTACCATATATCTATCAACACTTGCTAATCGCTGAAATCATTGTTCAATTTAACACAAGTTGTTGCGTGACTTGGTCAAGAAAATCTGTGCCCTTCTTAAGCAGAACATCGCTGCCCAGCACTCAGCCTGTTCCACCAGCTGGTATGCCGCGGCAACTTCTGCCTGCGAAGCGTGCAGCATGCCAAAGACATCTTGGGTTCAGGCTTTCAGGCCAAGGGCTTTGAACTCAACAATAAATGCTTCAATGCTGAAGCTCTTTTCTGACCACCATACTCCGCCATGCGCTACCAATCCTTTTGCTGCACATGGTACAGTAACAAACGTGCAACGCCCGTCGAAAAAGCCACCAGCTTGGAGTAGCTCGGAGTAGCTAGGACAGTTCCTTGTCTTAGGCTCTTCAAGCTGCGGATTTCGGACTTAGGGTTTCGAGCACGAACTGAGCTGACATTGTGCATGCTGTGCATGCTTGGCCTTGGCACCCGTCTCCTTGCCATCCACGAGAACCCGCTCGATGATCTCTTGTAGCTTCATGTGGTGCCTCTCAACACACCCTTGAAAGCTTGGGGGGAATGTCAAGGCCAGACTATGTATACAGCGGACATAACCCACAGAGCATGTTCGCTCTTGCGTTCAAGTATATATGGTGCAGCATTATGGGTATGCTGACACATCCATGTGCATCCTCCACACGGACAGGAGCTGCTCACGTTCTGTTCTGAAGGTCGTTATTCAATTCTGACCCTAAACGTAATCCTGCATCCGAAGCCCTGAACCCACAGTAGCCCTGGACCTAAACTCTTGAACTCAAAGCTCGACAATCTGAACTCAAAAGCCTACAAGCAACTGGCCTCCGGAACTTCTGGAGCTCCTCGATCCGTGCCTGGGCATGACCAGCGATAGTTGCTTGCTTGCATTCCTCCTCTAACAATTAATCTGTCAGTCACAACTGCTGCTCAGATTGGGACTTTCCTCGGGCATTGTTGCTTACCGTCATAACTTCCCCAGTTCCTCTAACCATGCTAGCCCCTCTTGCCTCCATCTTCCCCATTCTGACGACAGAAGTGCTCTCGTGCTTCTTGCTCTTGCCGTACAGCTTGGAGCTACGACGGAATGCCGTTTTCACCAAGTCATAGCGGGAACACCCCTTTCAGATTGCTCGAGGACAGGCGGCGTCAATTAGCCCTTCTCATATTGTAGTTTCCTTGTCTGTGACAGCTCAAAGGTTGCATCCATTTCTTACTTACTGCCACCTCTGCAGCCACGCGTGCCCCATACAGCAAAGCTATCGGCGTGAGTCTGTCTAGAAAGAAGACAAATCAAAACTCATGCCAAGATCAATTGCCTCCACGGGTCTTTCATAATTTCTAAGTACGTGGTTTCTCGCTTGCATGGGGGAACTGTCTGCTGTACTTCCTGGATTTCTCTCCAACCTCGAGCCAACGATACTGAAAGGCTGCAATCCCACAATCTCAAGGAGATGACCCAGTGCTGCCTTACTAGGCAGGGGAATAGCAAACATCCGTCGTTCACACCGTTGCAGGCATGCAGCATGCGCAGCAACATGCTGCGAGTAAGTGCTGCAATAACACAAGTCATACATGTATATAATATGTCTGCTTACATATATGATATGAACCGATATATAAAAATATATGACATATATGTACATATCAGCGGGGGGCACCATGATGACTATGAGTGCTGCTACTACCACAAAGTCAGAAATGAATCTACAGTCACCGAGCAACAATTGCTATCCTCAACCCGAATCTCACACTCCCAAACTAAACCAACTTGTAGACCCTAAACCGTAATCCTTATATCTTTAAATTCTCAACCTGACACCCCAATCCCACATCCTAAACCCAAACCCGCAGTGCTTTGACACTGTGCCCCTAGCCTGCAGCTGCTCGTGCTCGCCTGAAGCTTTGCTGAATCGCTGTCAGGGCTGAGCTGAAGCAATCTGAGCATCATGCACTGCCTCGAAGCAAGTGCTGGGAGTTCGAGATTATACAAGGCGCTAAGCTTCACATTGCTTTCTGTCTTTGTTGGTCTGTGGGTGAGAGCTCGACGATTTCGTAGATGCAGAGGGTCAAATGGCGACACGTAAACTCCAATCCCGTGCAGCGAAATCTCGACCTTCAATGAGGAGTTATTCGCTACACAATGCGTCGGAATACTTACACCTCCTGTACACCCTGACATCACTCCCATGCAACCCAATAGTGGCAGAGGGAGGCACAGTTGATCTTGACTGTCGGTCGCTCGTTGCCTCCTCAGCAGCGTACCGCAAACAGCGCAAAAAAAAACAATGCTAGAGTCTGCTAGAGTCTAGAGTCGGTAGATTTACCTGAACAGGCAAAGACATGAACACCGACACAAGCTCTCAGTGCAGGGTCTAGACTCTCTGGATTCTAGGGATGTGAAACATTGGCATCCCTAACATCCCCACGACTGTGGAGAGATCATTGCCGGTTTGGGGTCTAATTTTCGGATTCCCAAAGCCTGGATCCCAAAGGCAAAGCACGGTCTGGTCATCTTTCGATCTATTCAAGCTTGTCAAAGTGAAGCTCAATGACAGCTCATAGGCAGGGACGCTTTTTGAGCTGCTCCCTCACCAGCTGCCGGAACTGACCCACCTGCGTCTAACGGTAGCAACAGCAGAACATTCCATGTGCAGCTGTCAAACAGTCAATTGGAAAAGCATCAGCTGCAACTGTAGCTATGCAACGCTATGCAACTTCTGCAATGGTCAGGCAATGTTCAATCGCGTCACCTCATCCTTCCACACTCGGAAGAGTTCTTGGCAGTTGGACATGTTCTGGCTGAACATCTCGGCATCCTCCACAGACTCATGCTGAGAGACCAAGAAGCAAGGGCCAAAAGTTTGGCACAAACCCTGCCGTGCTAAACCCGTAATGCCTTTATACAACTCCAGAGACCCATGTGCAATCCTTATGTTATTCCCATCAAAGATCCTGCTTGCTGCGAGAGACGCAAATGGCAGTCCCCGTCAGCATTATGACAGTCGTTTGAGTAACAGTAATGACCGCCGTTGCATGAACTGTGAGGAAGGGCGCGGGACTCTAGCTGCACGGCAGAGCAAGCTGGAGCGGAGAGAAACACATGCACGAAGCCCTGCAGGCTGTCCTGCTGCATGAGACGTTGTGTGGACAAGATCTTCAGCAAGCGATCCTTCAAGTGAAGCAAGCAGCCGCGTCTCAGAAAGTCAAGAGATCAGAAGGGCCCGACGGAGAGGTCACGGCTGACAGCTTCCACCACATTGTAAGCCCTCCAGAGAGGATACCTTTCCGGTCCAAGGGTTCTCATCTCCAGGTGTGTGGAGGCTTGGCGCACTGAACGGCATTCCGGATCCTCTTCATGTGGTTGAAGATTGTCCGAACAGCCTGACATCCGAGCTTGCCGGCCAAGACCGACACAGCTCCCCAGCATGCGGCCTGCGTCAGCTGCTCAATGGAGGAGGCCTCGGAAACGTGTAAATAGAACCGCTAGTCTTTGGAAACCAGTGTGTCATTTGGGAGGGTTTCAGGGGTAAGGAAGTGTGTCTCGGCTGCAACAACAAGCTAGGGGACCAGCCACAAGCAGCTCGTTGATGGGAAAGTCCCGAAGCCTCGAGCACAGCACAGCACGGCAATGCTTCGTGCCTGCTGGGGGGGCTCCATCAACCCGGTATAAACTGTAGTGTAACCAATACGCAAGAGCACGGAGACGACAAGTTTGAAACGTAGTGTCTCGTGAATTGTTCAACATGGCCTCGAAACATTTGGATGCCATCACAAAGCTATACCTGAAGTAGCAGCTTTGCTGAAAAGAACCTAATCAGGGCTCCAACAGAACGCACACAATCTAGAAATGGAAATAGTGACCCGTGCTTGAGCCTGATTGCAAGAGAAGCTCGTGCCTACACTCCCAGCTTATTCAAAGAGAAAGGCCCTCGTCAGAGTCGCGGGCAGGCTCAAGTAGTTGGAGACTTTCTCGATGGCGGGCTTTAAGCCTGTGTCGGCCTCGAACGACCTTTTGCAGGTATTCGAGAAGAAAACCAAGGAGATGATGCACAATGCTCCTAAAAGCAGGTGGGTGATGCAGAACTTCTGGAAATGATTAGATTGATCAAGAAAATGACGTGTGTATTCCTCATCATGACAAGGAACAACATGGCAATGTCAAATCTCTAGGGCCGGTGCATCGTTGCGAGGAATCGACGAGCACCCTGAGAAGTAGCCAGAGCAAGCCAGAGCAAAAGCATTACGCTACCCAGCCACTGGTCTGGGAAGCGGGCCCTCAGCAGGTTCAGCGTGAGTTGAATTTCTGGCGTCTGGAGCTGCTGCTGCGCATCGTTCAACACCTTCCATGCTTGGGATGGTGGGTTAAGGTGCAAGGTGTGTGAGTGAGAGAGGGAGAATTCAAAGTGAACAGCTTTTAGCCCAAAGCTGGTTGTCTTAGACGGCTTGGCATGGCAAGAGAAGCTCTTGTGGGTTCTCACGGGATCTTGGGAAGACATCTGGCACCTTCTCCATGCCAAGCCAGAAATTGATTTCCTGCATCGTGCTCCCCGTCGAGGAGTCACGCTGCATCTTGGCAACCCGCTGAATTTCCTGGCAAGAGGACAAAGGAACGACATGCAAAAGAGTGCTGTAAGAAGCGAGGCGGTCCTTGCTCCACTTGTTCACACCACCTTTGAGCATCAAGCGGAGACACGCGTGCGCCGCTGGAGCGAGGCAGTCTAAACCGAAGAAATAATGAAAAACTGGCACATGATCAACTGTGCAAGCAGGCGTTTGCTCAAACTTCTGACGCGACCAAGCTCTTCACTTTGCAGCTGGTTCTGAAACGTGGAGTCGTTCATGCGATCCTCTCGAATTGTAAGTTGAAAGTTCGGCATTCGGCACCCTTTTTGTTGGTCCCTTGTACCTGGTGACTATAGTGCAAACACACTGCCAACCACACGCTCATGCAGAGCCAGGGGCGTGTCTCAATCCTTGAAGTCATCGGTGCTCAACTGCCTCCCTTCCGCTTTGGCTTTCTCGAAAGCCTCCACGAACAAGGGAGTTGTGCTGACTATGCTTATCATTCCACAGGAGCTCATGCTTCTTTCTGAGCATTCTTCTGAAGAGTTTCGTTGCTGCCATTACTTACAATGTTGCACCACAAGGACATGGACAACTTACTGTCTTGCCCGAACAAGATGAAGGCTGGGCATTCCAAGAGATGAGGCAAGCAGGTTTGGACTCCCAAAACTTTATCTAACCCGCAGTTTACATCAACTATTACATCCCTGCAGTGCCGAGGCTGATTCCTTTTCTCCTTTTGCCTACCTGCACTGAGAACACCCTGCGGTGCTGGAGCCATTTTCTGTCTGCCTGCCTCTGCCGCAGCGCGGCATAGCCGCGCCGCACTTTGGGTTGCCAGGGCCTTGGGCCTTTTCTGAGGTGGCTTTATCCCACTTGCCACCAGGGACACGATTTTCCCACTTTTAAGCTTCATGAGGGGTAGGCCTCTGCACAGCTGCAGCTGGCAGAGGGCGTAGTCATCCACTGTTTAATTAGCTGCAAAGCCAAACACTTTCGGAACACGCCTCCGCAATTTCGGGGTCTATCGGAAGTGAGATGTTCTCGATGTCCACATTCTGCTGGCACTGCCTCAATTCAATGTGCTTCCATGCGCCTACTGTGGCTATGCGGCTATGCCCTTCTGCTGTACAAGGCAGATAAACAGCGATGCACGAGGACGGCATCTTCAAGGCTGAGTCTCTCGGATCTGTTTAATGTTTGAGGCTGCAGCATGAGTGCCATACTCAAGTCCATGATCTTTCGCATCACGTTGGGGACGCCCACCTTTGAAAGCTTCTCAGAGTTCAGGGTGGGACTTGAGAGGTGCTGCGTTCGGGACAGCGTGCACCAGCATGAACTAAGCAAAGTCACAAGAACATCAACACAAGAAATAATAACCTTGCGACAACAGCTGGGAGCATAGCCATCTCGTGATCTAAGATTCAGCCTAGAACATTGAGAAGGGTGATAGTAGTGGACCCGTAGAGGACCTGTCGGCCTTGAGCTCTTCACGGTCCTCATCACCAACACTCTTGTTGGCACTCTCGGACCTCGGTCAAAATCATTGGGGAGCAAGATTTGCTATCGCCAGAGCAGAGCATAAGAACTGTAACACTACGAGTTGCAATGCTACAGCATTCACCGCAGGCATCTCAGCAAATGCTGGGTCATAATTTGAACACAGGTTGCGCGGGCTTGAAACTAACAACACCCAATGCTTTAGTGTAGAGTTTTGGATTTGCAATCTTGGCAGCGAAGAAAGTGTCTTGTTGTGAGGTTGCAAGCCGTGTAGCGCAGAAAAACCCTAATGGGTGCCGAGGTGCTGCTTTGCGAGAGCATTGAAAAGCGGAACGAAACCGTTCTGAAGATACAAGTGAACCAGTTCAAATGGCGACCACCTGAGTGCTTCGGGTTGATCCAGCTCGGCTTCAGATGAAGTTCAGTGCTTACTTCGACAGAATGCTGCAAAATGCTGCGAATAGAGAGGTGCGGACTCGGACTCGGCCCCCATGGTGATCAACCTTGCTCCAGTGTGAAGCAACTCGTCTTAAAGCAAAAGCTAGGTGTAAACAGAAAACGCTGCAGGTAATTGTGAAGGGATTCAGCAGCTGGGAAGCAACTAAATTGTGAATCAGGCTACATCCTCTAAAACTGCAAAAGTCTAGGGGTGGCGCTGTAAATGAGATGCGAAGTTGCCGTTCGAAGGAACAGCTCCTCCGACACATTGATCTTTGTTATATTTATACCAAAACAGAATGGCGGGCCTTCTTCCAGAGTGCCTTCATAGGCCGCTCGAAACGTCGCTGGACTGCGCTTGAGTATGGCAACCGCCTTAGACACTTAGACGTGCCGTGACTGGAAACCTTCTAAGCCACTGCACCTGAGAAGAAGAAGAATGAGCTGCTCACGCATGCTTGTCTGCAGAAGACAACTTCGTTCTCGGTGCGAATACTGTACTCCTTCTCCTTGGAGCAAAGGCACTGCTCAGGCGCACTGTGACACGTCACCATGCGCAACCTCCGCAGCTTTGCCATCTTCGTTTTTGCTCTCCTCTCTGTCTACCTGAGTTCAACTGGGGGATGGGTACGGGTGAAACCATGCCAACAAAACACGCGACGGACAGGTTGAGGACGCCTTTGAGATCGCAAGCTGCCTCAGGTCTCCACCAGCTCCCTAGCAATGAAGAAGGTTGTGTCTTGGTCATCGTGGATGAAGTGACGCACCTGAAAAAGGTTCAGGACTGTTGGAGGACTGATTGGAGTCGTTGGTTTGGGTCCTGGGTCTCGGAAAATGAGCCACTCCCGAACACTGAATCAGTGAATACTCGCAATAGACCCCGCTGACCCCCATCAAATCCCAATGTTTGCGTTCGCTTGCCTTGTTCATCATCTCCAGGCTGGCAAAGTGTTTGGAGATCTCATCCTAGCGCTCGGGCACGATTTCAGACGATACTCACCGAAGCATGCTGCTCATACGTAAAGCCCGGGGTTTTTTTATTGTGATCAGGTGACAATGGAAACAGCCGCCCAGGCCTTCGGCGCACCCAGAATTGCTGGGCAGACGTTGTTCAAGAATTCAATGAATGGACCCGGGTTGATCTTCGTGTGCTCACCCATGGCTCAAACCAACAGATTGCTGCCTCTTTGGGCATTACCACTCACGCTGAAAAACTCCAAATACGCACCGCGTGTCTGATTGGCTGGAATGCAAATTTGAAGAATTTCCACTGTTTATACAAATGTAATCAATTGCATTGGCATAGGGCAAATGCAAGTGCATGGAGTTGTCGGTAGCTTGATTGTAGCCTATTCGCGGGATGAAACGGGGTTGGGCCCTGGATGTTCCTTGCCAACCCATTACACATTGTTTTCGACAATTGTTTTCGACCAAACCATAGCTACACATTTGCATTGAGCCCGAAGCTCTGATGTCAAGAAGCATATGGCTGAGAATGACTTGGAAGCTGGAACATCAGTAATACCACTTTCTATCGCATGGACACCCAAAAGCCACCCACAACATGAACGACCGTGAGATGAACAAACAGCAGATGACACGGGCGAATGCCGGAACCCAACTCTTGACTCTCTCCATGTCTCCACATCATCAACCTGCGAAGCTATGATCCTTGCGACCCTGTGTGTCTGTCCGGATCTTAAACACAAATGCAGCAAACCGAGCTGCCCCATCCCACTGGACAAGATCCAGATCAGATCGGCACTCCTGCATAGTTGAAAAACGACAATTAATAAGCCTCAAGAACACCAGGGTCCTTGTCGCTGATCGGTCAAACTGGCCCTAGGCCCCAGCTCTTGCAAACTCAGGAGATGCTGTAAACACCATGGTAACCCGGAGCATGTTACCTTGCAGGCACTGAAATAAGCGCAGAACAGATGAGAATATTCGGAAAACAACAATCGATAAAGCTATCTACTCCTCACCAGCCCCATATGTAAAAGGCAGGTTTTGTCTGAACCCATGCTGGCCATCGTGGTCCGATTTAGGTGGTAAGACCTGAGAATCTGATTTCCTATGTGGAAGAGCACGAGAACTGTTGCATCACCAATTCTGCATGCGGACAGTTACTCAGAATTCTGCTGCAGCAACACACTCTGAAGCAGCAAGTACTTCCTTGAACTCCAAGTGTCCATGACGATGGGTAGCAAGCATGTCACTCAAATAAAAGATGAACATGAAATGCTAAAAGCGAAGGTGAAGACGTGGCTGCATTCAAAACCTTAGTGGGCCCTACACCAACCAAGCATACAACTTAGATTTAAGAAACGCGGAGTCGTTCGTATCATGTTCTCAGATCTTATGAGGGTGTAGAGTTCAGAGCAGGTCTGGCGGTCAGACAAGTTGTGGTGTTTTGGATTTGGTTAGATGATGCACACAGCTCCCATGGCAGTGACGTCGTCCGTGCTTTGCTGCCTTCCTTCCCTAGCTTTCTCGAATGTGGGCAGGAACAGCCATGTCGTGCTGGGAGCATCAGCCCCGTGCCAAACCACCTGGAGCAATTGCAACATTGATCCACTGCATATGTGCAATGCACCTGCTCAGTGCTGCAAAGATCCTTGACCACAACGCACCAGAAGAAGTTGCAAGTACTCACAGCTGGTCCAAGATTTTTGCTGGCTTACACATACCCGAGACCAACAAAGTTCACCACCGATGGTCACAACGAACGCAGCAAGCAAACGAACGAGTGGTATGAAAATATATGACAATCACTGTGAGAAGAGCCTGCCCATCGGCACAGCATTCACAAATGTATTGCCAGTATGAAATCCTGAGGATTGGTGCCACAACACACATATGCACTGCAGACAGAATGAGGATTTTCACGTGTCTCCGTCAGCTCTCACACAGGGCCTGAGCAGTCAAAAGTGGATTCCAGTATTACCACACGGCTCTTGTGAGAGGAGTGCTCGTATGTATTTGCGCTTCCTTTCCAATCCTACGACTTGTAAGTCTGGTGATCCTTGAGTCCCGGAACCTAGCGGGCACTGGGACATGATGCATTCCAGCCTGACGGCTCACATCGATCATGGCATCTGCATAACTTTAACCGACTCCCTGCTGCACTTCTTGAGTGTAATGAAGCCTGAGCAACAACATCAACAGATTCAATCAAATGAAGGGTAGACACCAACAGCTCCCCTGCAATTTCGGGGCAGGTTCGGTTTTTCAGCATTCAACAGTGTAATTTTTGGGTTTACAGGGCTTACCGAAGGGGTTTAGGGTTGGACTGAACCCTAAACCATTTTTTTAATGACTCTAAAACCTACACGAGCTTCAACGTGGAAATGACCCCTAGACCATCCGAAACCCTGTGAACCCAAAACCCTGGACCATAAATCCTAAACCTTAGACCCAGCCAGGAAAAAATGTGGAAGTGTTCCGTTGGCTAAGTAAGCAAAGCAAACAGAGTATCGACTCTTCACCTGGGAGAAATTCAGCGTTTGCAGGCTTGAGTGGTTTGTAAGAGCCTCATACGATTGCGATTTGAAATCGCGCGGCCTTGAAGACACTAGGCACGCAATAGTTGGGAGCACAACACCCCAGCAAAGTGTGGGAAATCAAGAAAACGAATAACAAAAACTAGTGACAAACACATGACCTGCGTGACTTCAGCCGCTACGCATTCATATCCATCCATGTCGTGTGCGACCGCTCGACTTGGGAGCACAACCTGGCCGTCTGAGCCTGAACTGCTCACTTCTTAGCATCATAATCATGACTGGCCATCCGCAACAACTCCAGTTGTTGCTCGAGCTCCTCAATGCTCAAAATCAACGGATCACCCACTTGGCACCCAACATCTTGCGTGTCATTCCACGCCAGGCTTCCCATGCCTGCCGATGCTTCCACATTGAGCAAATGCTGGAGCTGCAGCTGCATGGCCCAAGACGTATTCGTCTGCGTGCCGATGTCAACGTGAGATGCCATGGGTTGCACGGGCTCCTCGTGATTTTCAATCTCTAGAAGCATTCGCCAACGTCGTATGTCAGCAAGCAGCTCCTGACGGTCATCCAGGTGAAGAGGGGCCGGTTCAGTGCTGGATGAGGCTTCGCTGGTGCCCACCGGGACAGGCCCAAGCGACTGCACAGCCGCCTCCAACTCCAAAAGAGAGCTGATCTGCAGATGCTGCAAACTGGTCAGCTCATCCAGCTGGCCAAGGCCCACACCCTCACCCTGTGTTTGTGCACTGGCACGTTGAAAGCTGCGCTCTCGATCGGGTTTGTGGCCTTTGCGGCCCCTCTTTGCAGCGCCCGACGATGTCAGCGCAAAAGCAAACAAAACAACCAAGAACAACATGCGCATGCTTTCAGAACAAGTGAGTTGGCACAACACGAACAGCGCAGTTTACGCGAGCTATGAGAGCTGTGCATGCCACATACGACTCACAATCAAGGGCCGGCTGGCATGATAATACAAAACAATGTCGGGCAGTCTCTGTGTTTTCTCGCGTTGCGATCTTCGGCCGTGGTTTCACAGCTCCGTCTTGCATCTGGAGAAACAGCACAATCCTGACAGCCATCGGGCAGGCATGTTGGGGAGAGTTCGGCGCTGGCAGATTGCAGGACTATGTAAGGTCTCCCATCAGGCCTCCAACGGCTTGCCAAAGCCAACTTCCAAGGTCTGCCCCCCAACCTGCACAAATGCGAAAACAATTGCCACGATCCAAGTCCTTTCCGAAAGCCTGCCTTGGGGCAGCGCTGGCAGCAGCGCTTCCTTCCAGCAGGATGGACTCTAAATGAACTCGTATGTGGCATACCTCATGTGTGCAGCAACAGTGCAAAGTTCCACACGGTCTTCCCATATACACATGATAGGCCACCGGTCACCCGAATGGGCGGCTTTCGAAAATTGCTATTCAACTCTTTAGTCGGCCCTGAAATCTTGGCGGTCCTGCGATTGAAAGGGACATGGGCCACGAATTGTGGCAGCAGACCTCGGCCGGTGGTTCAGGGCACACGGTTGGGCGCGTACTTTTTGTGTGGCAGCTGTTGCTGTGTAACTCCAAAGCCCGCAGGACAGGGCCCCTACTCAACAAGGATAAGGGGGGCATGGATCCTACAAAAAAGAAAACAGAGCTTCTCATCTTGCCAATGCTTGGCCATGGTGTCAAAAGTATGCCACGTGGAGCCTCCAGGACGAACAAAAGCCCAATCACCATGATGTGATCAAAAATTGCTGAACCACCCACGATCAAATTAGAAGGCAAAAAAAACACACACACCCGCAGCACTCTTCACAAACATGGCGAAGCCCCATGGCCACACAGAGCTCTGCAACCTGGCAACCCGAATCCGAAGCCCTCTACAATACCATTATAGTACAGGAAAAACACCAAGGCCCCGACAAAAGTCGAGCCGGAACCTCAAATCCCATGAACCCCTTAACCTTTATGAACGCCCCTTTTGCTGGAAACTCTCCAACTGTAGACCCCAGAAGTGTCGAGCTCTCTGCTGTGGACTCGAAACGGGAGCCAGCCAGCCTCTTCAAGAGGGATCTACAGTTTTAGGTTAAGGGGTTGAGGGGATTTAAGCTTTAGGGCCTTAGGGCTTAGGGATGTTTAGTGTGCAGGGGGCTTTTTAGTTTGAGAAAACTATCTCATCGGGCTTTATGGCATCTTCAATCTTCTTCGATGAACTTGGAGGAGAATAGGGTGATTCTGAAATACCAATGACTCTCCAAGAGCAGAGACATGTTTCACCCCAATGTAGTGCATGACGCAAGGACCCTGCGTTATAAAAAAAGATGACGGCTACTACATAGTACAGTACGGTCTACGTCTACTAGACTGCATGGTATTGATTATGATGCCGTATATGGATTTTACTGTAGGAAGGTGTACTGTACTGTACTGTACTGTTGAGCACGTGCATGCGTCGAAAGTGTGAGCACCCTCCTTTACGGATTAATCAGGAACGAATAGCTAAAGTTTAGGTGCTCTGAAATTTCAAGACTGAGGACAACAATCCATACAAGCAGCAACACTTGGAATACCCCGCAAAAGTACTGTCCTGCATGGCGACCACGAGTTTCCTCTGGCAGGGAGCCCTCCCTTGGCATAGGCGGCACAGACCGAGCCTGGCCAAGCAGGTTTGAGGAGGCTCACGGCTTACAGAACTTTGAGAAAGTTGCTGCCTACTCTTGTGATGTTCTGAAGTTGTACACATGCTTTAGAAGGACGAACTGAATTGAAGGCTCCGGGGGTAAGTCATGCCATGGATTTCACGGAGGAACAATTGCTCACCTGAACATCACCCCCGACATTTCGGTAGGAACTTTGTAGCTGCTCAAGGATCCTCTGAGTTCGCACGCGCGACGTAACATGTGTACCAGAAACACTGAAGACTCGATGGACATTCGAAAAAAGCCGGACGGAAGCAACCTGAACCACCCCCTCCCTCGTGAAAACATGAAGCCGTAAACCCAGTGAAGCACCGATGTGTTTAAGACCACGTAGCAGCCTAACGACCTAAATCCCTCCAGAAAAAGGTATCAACTTGAGGATATCTAACTATCAAAGTTGAGGCTGTCGTGTTGATGAAGCCTCGGCCCTGTCCTTCTCCAGGCTTGCTTCGGCCTCCGTGATGTCACCGGAGTCGCACAAGGCCAATCCTCAGACGCAGCCGTGCATGAGCTGACTCCTCACCTGCTTCTACCACGCAAGAACTCGCAGGTCTGATGTATAACTCAATGCCGCCCAATGCTGATAACACCCAAGTCACAAGTCCAACAAGATGTCTGCGAAATTGCGCGCATGAAAGCTACCATCCGTCCCCATCTATAGCTGCCGACTCTCATTCCATTCCTTGCAGGCAGGAGAATCAGAACCTGCCTATCACGGAACCTCAACTTGCCAGTTGTGCTCAACCGTTTCGAGTCCAGAAGGTCGCAAACCAAACGCGCACCGCTATCCACATTCTGAGCGCTGTAATTTCTGTAGAACGCGGCTTGCTATGAGCTGCTATGCCGGAAACTTCTTTTCGAGCTCTCGCTGCTGATCAACTTTTGCACCTTCTGACGGCCCGGGGAACATAACCGTCACAACTTAGCATGTGTTACATGCTTGAGGCTCTCTTCCGGCTCTCGCTGAGGCCCAGGCGATCTGTGTCTTCTGGAAGACTGCAACAAACTGTCGTTGTACCTATTCGTCTTCCCGTGGATGTGCTGCGCGGCAACCCGAACAGTCCAACGGATACCACAGGAATGCACACTCGCAACCTGGCAGTGCCAAATCTCAGGATGATAAGAACATGGCGACTCCCATCTTTCAGTATCATCTCAACAAGGTCGGACAAGGAAGAGGGCGCCAGTGAAACTTGTTTTTCGGATCTGTAACTTTGTGAAAGATGTGAGAAGGTTGAGAACTGCTGACCTCAGGAATTCAACGGACGGTAAACATACGGGAAGACAAGCGTCCATTTCTCTTGCAGGACATGAACAAATCGGAGGGAATGAATGAACTTGGGTTGCGATATCCAGGAATTACCTGAGTGAAAAAGCCTTTGCCACGACACTGTTCAAAACACCGAAGCAACTTTTCATTACACGCTCACGTGCTCACTCATCAATCACAACACTGTAAGTGCTTGGCGAATCATGAATTCTCTCCATAAGCCTTAGAGGACGCACCCACCCACCCACCCACACACACACACTTTAAGTCTTCTATCAGATCTGCATCTCAACCCATTTTTCGTGACGATGCACTTGACGCGCGTCTGACACTGCACAATCTACTGGTCGTAGCTTGATCTTCACATTGTTCTAGTGGGGCCCACACACACATGCGCACAAGACCCTACAGATCTGCTGCGATGGCAAACCAAGTCAGCGTCACAACGCACATGCATTATGTATTATAAACACAAGCCGCTGACTGCAAGGTCAATCCGCGGTGTTCGAAGCAAAGTACCTACGAGCTGCAGCATCAGCAACAGGCTCGCGAGAAGGCCGTGACCAAAGAAGTAGGACAGTAAGACTGCCGGGCTGACCTTGCGTAGGATATCCGACGGCCAATTGCGCGCGGCCTGGGCGCATGAAGATTTGGATACGGACAGCACAAAAGAAGAGAGAACAGGAGGACAGACAGCACCTGTTATAGGAAGCAAGAACAGCCAGCAATGCACAAAGGGTGCAGCTTCAAAGGCCAAACACAGGGCAGTCAGCGGAAATGACAAGGACTTAGGCACCCGGGCCTGGAGAAACGCCACTCCGGCGCGAATAGCCCGCAGCTGGAAGGGTAATGCTGCTGCAAAGGCGTCGAGTACCTACACCGCAAGCGGGGAGGCTCACTGAGCAATAATGAAATAAAGGGCTTGGTAGAGCGGGCGAGACAAGAGGAGGGAGCGATGAACCAAAACATGCCTGGTCAACTTTTAAACAGCTGACTCTTTAAACCCGCCACAGACGGCTCGACGCAACTAGCCATGGCCCAGCCTGGGAGGGCAACACTGCCGCGCGGACTTGTTCTAACTCCGCAATGGTTTCCACGACCTGCAATGGGAGAATGCCAAATGGAGGCAAGCTGGTACACAGATTGCTTGGACATCGAACCTGCCTCGAGCTCCTCCATCTTGGAAGCATGCTGAGGGTACCATGATGTCACCAGCGCCTCTTTCAGTTGCAGCTGGCAAATTTCTTTCTGGTCTGCAACATGCAAGGCTGTTGAAGTGTGATCTTTGGCGGAACGCAGGCAAACGTGCACAGGTTGCTTTGGAGGCTCCCTCAGCTCCCTGCTCTGGCTTTCGGGCGGGCAACTTCCCAGGAGTACCATGGCTGGGGCATGACAGGCAGCTAAGACAAAGGGTGTCCGCTCTTGTCTCGAACTCGTGATCCCTGCAACTGTCTCCTTTTTTTGGAGCCTGGACGCGTGTTTCAGTCTGAACCGCGCTGACAACTCGGTTGCTTCCCAGCTACCCACTTGAGTCAAGGCCAGTGCATGGCAGGAGACATCTTGAACAGAGGCAAAGGGCTATGGGATCTGTGTAGGGGAGAGGTATCGGAAATCGTTCACAGCGAAGTGCAGATGCAACGTGCCACAGTCACATCTGCTCCTCACCCAACCCGGCACCATTGTTTGTCAACATCGACAGCTGCTCAATGGCACCATAGGTGCGCACTCAGACAAACATTAAAGAGACGTAGGTGCACCTAGGAGCTAACTCTAACTATGGTCCTTTGCAAGCGGGCTTGCACAGGCTCTGAAGGTCGCGGCTCCTCTGGTAGCCCCTATAGACCCCAAACCCCAAAGGTTTGCTGGTCAGGGCTTTTTTGTCTAAAAACAAAAAGCCCCACATCCTAGAACCCTACTGCAAACCCTGAGCCCTAGACCCTCACGAGCATCCGCAAGACAGCTCCGCGACAGTCTTGTGCCATCGGCGGCAACGACTTGTGATTAGGATTCTTGTTTTTGAAGCCCGGCATATGCCGCGATATCAAGACCACGGCCGAGACACTGGAAGTTACGATTTTGAGACAGTGCTTCGTTGCAGCGGGAACTGGGACTTCACTTAGTGCCACGTGGCATCTAGACTTTCTCTCCCTTAGGAGCTCCGCTCTAGCCCTCACGGAAATCCCCTGTGAAGAAAACATAACACAAGCTGGGTGCCGCCTCGGCCCATCGATCTTGATGAGCACACACTATAGATGATGGTTCCGTATGAGAAGGATCCCGGAAAAGAAAAAAAAAAACTCCATTTGGAGCCTATGGGTAAGCCAGAAACATAAAAACTCAACTCTGGGTTAAGGAACACACAAGATCCCCAATCACGTAAGCCTGACACACAAACAAATAGAGACAGCAATCCCTTCTAGTGTGTAGCGTAGTCCCTTGTGAGGCATTGTAAGGCCAGGGTCCTCATGATTGGTACCTCCTCCTTGCTTTGAATCCTTTACTTCTGCATACACACATGCGCACACACACTGTATACTGTATGCTCCATCTATTCTCTATGCTCGGCCTCATTGTTTGGTAAACTGTATTAGATTTGACTAGAGCAGCTCTGAGTTTCAGGCATGGGAACTCCGGCTGAAAAATTCTGCCTGCTGACCAACTCTCCGTGTGAGCGCCCGCTTCCCAGAGTCAAAAGCGCGAGGACTGGGCACGAAGTGCGCAATTGCCCAGCTCGGCCCGTCCTCGGCATGCATCCCTCTGAACTGCAACTACCTGTCAAGATCAGGCCGGTATTTGATGTTGATTCACGCAGACCGAGAAACTTCTTTGCACGAGCTCCCACACACTTTCTTGCTTCAAAGCTGCCTTTGGCACATATATCTTTACACACTTGGCTTTTGAATTCTAGCCGTTCCCATCATCGAACATGGTCCCGCAGCCAGAGTTTTGGAAGCGCTGGTGGATCTGGCGCGTCCGCTCAGACTTGAAGCTGCCCACTTTCTTGCCTGTGCTTTTTGACACGTTGCCATCTCTTTTATTCCCGGCTCCTCCGGCAAAGAGCCTGCACTTACTCATGGGTGGTGGCAACACAGCCGCGGCTTCTTGCGCCTGGGGGTCATTGCAAAAGATCCCCGCAGCACTCGCCTCGGCTTTTTTCTGGTTGCTGCACGGATCCCCTCGGAAGACCCGCCAGTAGAAAGATGGCGTGACTAATTCCGCCGCAACTTCCTCATGTTCCGGATCTGAAGCTTGAACGCACCTGTAGAAGTAATCTTCCGCTGTTGCCGGTCTGCCGGTGTATCGGGTGAAGAACCGACGTACAGCATCCTTGGGATGGAAAGCATTCAGGTCCATTCCAACTTCCTCTGAAAGGTCAGTTCGTTCTTTCGCGCGCTGACGGGCAAGCAACTTTTTTCGGCGCTTCCTCATGTGACCCCCGGACATGTCTTCTGTCCATGTCTCCTCCACCTCCTCTTCTTTGACGGCTTGAGGTGCTTCATGCTCAGTCTTCACTTCCTCTTCCGGCCAGCTCTTCTGTATACCTCTGAAAGTAACAACACACTCTGCACATGAGAGGAGAAAGAGTTCTTACACTTTGGGCAGGATCGTCAACTTGCTTTGACTAGTGACAGCCTGTGAAATGACCTGTTTCAAGATGCCGTCTATTTGCCATCACGTTCCATTCCCAATCCTCCTGTTCCTCCAGGGAATCGGGTAGTGGAGAACGCGAACGAGCAGATGATGCTACTGGAGATGCTGACGAGGGCGTCCTGCTGCCACTCCAATCAGCCTTATTGCTTGACCTCCCCCAAGCACTGCTCACATCTGTCCGTCTCATAGTACGCTAGCTCGTGACTTGACAAGAAGAAGCTGCGTCACAAGCCGATGGTGAAGGAAATGCTGGACAATTTCTTTCATCTGACGGAAACAAGACAGGCACTGCAGCGGTGCAGACACTCTCCATTGTAGCTGATCCAGGACGGGACGGACTGCAGAACCTGGATATGTGACAGCTGAGTTGCACACGAGTCCTCCAAAGCTCAGACTGACACCCCCAGAGGTCCTGCACAGTCAGAGCATGACATTCCCAGCAGTTCTCTGCCAGCCGTCTGCCAGCACTTCTATGTTTGATATGCGAGCTTCGGACATGATCTTGCGTTGGAAGCACCGGTCCCTGGTCTTTGGCGGTGGTTCAGGATGCCTCCCCCACCTGGAACATCAAGCTTGAGCTTGCGGTCTTGCAGGGTGTGGACTCAAGGGTCGAGCCAAAAGCTTAAGCACATGTAGGCGCAAAACCTACGTAGCAGAGTGTGGAGAAGGGGCGTCTGACAGCTCATTTCTGATCTACTGGATCATATAGCATCAGGTCGATGTCCAGAGCAGAATTCTCTCAGATTACCTGCCTGGATATCATTCAGAATCCCGCACTGCACTGGCCGTAATCTGCGTAGCTCTCACAAACGAGGAAGGGGAAACTGGACATGAACACCTGGACACTGCCTCTTTTGGATATTCATGTCGCCAAACATTCACAGTATTGATAAACCCCTCTACTCTCCCCCACCCTTACATGGAACTTTAAAATGTGGCGCGTAACGGTTGGGGTACTCACCTCCCCCTTGATTCCAAAGCGAACGTCAGCCGATAAAAGCATCGACAAGCACTAGTTGCTAAGGCCAGGACTTCAGGCACCTTCAAGCTCTTCGGGGGTGAAAGTCACCTCCACATCCTCAGAAGGCAATCAACGTTCCGGAGATCTTCGCCGCACGTTACATCCACCCTTTCTAACTTAGGCACATGTCAAACATCGCTTGTTGATGCCTGCGACCTCGGCTAAGCCCTCGGCACACCTTCACACCAAACCTGGGGCTGGCCCCGGATGGCGACGTCCAAACCACCTAGGCCAGCGGCTCGACCAAGACATTCACACAAAGATCTCCAAGACAATCAAAGGAACGCACTGATACAAGAGGTAGGCTGCGCAGAGGGACGGTTGATTGAAATCTGAATGTCAACAAGACGCTTCCCCCGCAGCCTGGCTGAGCTTTGCTGGGCCCATCAACAGCCAGGTATTTAGGCCACCCGAGGCTGATGCATGCAAAACCTGGATGCACAGTGCTGGATTGGCGTTTTCCAGACCTGTCACCATGTCTTTGGGCAAAAACTGAAGATGGGATGTTTGCCAGCCTTGCAGTACTTTGGTCCTCGATGCTTGTGGACTTGCATGCTAGACTCTCTGATTTGGGTATAAGGGGCATGATGGTGACTTGCTTACATGAATGTGCGAGTCTTGCTGCAAACACGTGGAATGATCAAGCTGTGCACCTAGTGCTATATGGCGCCATTCCCGCTCTATGGCATTGTACCATGTCAAGCAACGACTTTACGTTTTATTTGATCATTGTGCTCCAGCAGTATGAATACGGGAGCTCCCACACCTCATCGCTCAACCGCTGTTAAGAGCTACTCCAAGCTTTCGGACAAAGGAGGTCACAGACAGACTCTCAAGATGGGAATTGGACGGCCTCGCTCCGTAGACGCACTTCGAAGTCAAAGCACTTCTTCACCTATTGACCCTGCAATCCCTTATGAGGATCAGTAGCACGCCTTCATAATCCGTATATGAGCCCTGGACTAAGTAATGTACACGTCCTTACGGACATCCCTGGATAATCTCTTTTGAGGGTCCTTACTATCCCCATCTCCATCCCCTTTATACTTCAGTCCAGGGCTCCCTAACCGTAAACACTAAACTCCACCTTGGGAAGGCGATTCGAGGCCCTGGCCTCCGGCAGTGGATTGGATCCTTACCACTCCCTGCTCAGGTTCAGATGCCTCTTTGGAAACCTGGGCTCAGGTAGGGTTTAGGGTAGCGTTCAGGGTGTAAGGTGTAGCATGTAAGGGTTTACAGGACCTGGGCTCAGCGAAAGCCGTGTGACACTGTGTAGGCTTAAGCAGCCAGAGTAGTAGGTAGTGTATAGTGAGGTATCTCCATAATATCAAGACAAATACCTTGATAAGTAGTACCCAAAGCTAAATAGTAGGAACGCCACACGTTTCAAGGCGAGCTGCCTCGGCTTCGGATTGGCAAGAGGCCGCATCTGGCCAGTCAACCTCATCGGCTTTCTTCTTAGTTGCAAATTGCACACACTCCCGACTCCGCTGAATCTCTGCAAGCCCAATTGGGAACACAGCACAAAGCCAGCGCCATCTTTGACTTCGTAGCAGCACGGAGCATTGACTGGATTGATCTCACGCAGCTGTACCTCACGTAGCTTCAAGCTCCTTGAACTTTCTGGAAGGGTAACCAGCGACGAACATGCACAGGTAGCATAAACTGGAGAGCACGTCGCCGCTCCTTGTTCGCAAGATGCGTATGTGCACATGACCTCAACAAAAAAAACACAAAATGGAATCAAGGTTCATTACTAGCAACATCAGAAGCCCCATGCTGCCCTTTTTGTAGCAGTGGAAGATGAAATGGAAATTGCTATGGTACGTTCATTGTTCTTACCATAATAGTAATGGAAAATCAAATGGAAGCTACAAATGGCACCTATCCGTCTTGTGCTGCACAAGGGCGGCCTTGCACAAGATGCATGCAAACCCTAACCCCGTAAGCCATTGCAGCCACACGCTTGGTCTGCAAGTAGGAGCGGGACGCACTGTTTTCAGCCAGGTGTCGGAACTCCACTGACCTGAGTGTCTGAAACATCATGTTGATGCTTGCGTTCTAGATACCCCTTATTCTCTCCACCCACATACCCCAATGTACCTTCGTATACCCCTGGTATATCCCCAAGGGGCAACAAAACTGTTGCAACAAAAAAGTGCATGGCACACTCCGAACAGAGGGACTCCCTTTGCAAGGTGTCGCCGGAAAAAAAAACGTTTGGTTGTTGGGCAACCCATTGGGGCCACGGCCCAAGACGTTGCAAACCATCATCCATCAGCTTTGGCAAATGCGACTGGAAACGAACTACATGGAAATAACTACAAAGATCCCAGAGGAATGGACACTTAATTTTTGCAAGCGTCCACCCTACAAGCCCCGGATGATCCCTTTTTTTACAACAAAAGGCATTAAAGTCAAAGGAGTGAGAAAAGTGGGGAGAAGACTGGCACTAACGAGGCATGAGTGCAATACGAACATGCATTGGACCGCACAGCTCGCACATATCTCAGTTGCAACCTCCTGAATGGACTGGCCGAGCAAACATATCCCCTGGCACAGAGAAACAACATACACAAAGCTATGAAAATGAATCCGAAAGGATGGGATGGGTGTGACACGAAAACTGAAAGAATTGAATCCTAACCACTGACATGTCAGCTTGTTCAACTGTTTTCAAGTGTACGGCTCAATGGGTTATGAAAAATCCCAAACACATGTATCACTCGACTCCAATTTGGAATTTCCTCCGAACGCATGGATCCCTTACTTCTTTCTATAAAGGACAGGCATGTAGTAATCTAATCAAATATCAAGACATTTCGAATCACATACGCACATGTATCCACTCAATTCAGCAAAGCAATCAAAAGCTACGGAGGGGGAACAGATATCACTGAGTGCGGACATCCCGAAACCCCTTTTTTTGCGGACATATCGCAATGCACTCAAATGCGGGCTTCCCTCAAATGTGGTGGGTGGGACAGTAACACGTCTGGCTCTGCTGCAAGACCCAACGCTCACAAGATACATATAGTGAATCATGGTCATGTTTGACAAGAGCCATTCTCCTACTTGTGCGAATTTTTTCTCCATGAAAACGAAATGAAAAACCAAATTGCTTAGCCACACGACTAGGCCGTTACGTCAGACAGGGCTACAGAACGAAAGCAAAACACATGTTCCCTGTGGTTGCACTGATCCTGTCCAAGACCTACCACAACAAGCAAGCGAGCAGCAATTCAGTAAGTACTTTCCTACGCTTGGCCCTCAAGAAAAGAAGCAGCGGTCTTTTATTTATTCAATCACGAACGCACGTATCAATCACGTATTTCAATCAAACAAAGTAATAAAAATATATTCCCTCAGCCACTTGCTCAGCTGCATCACAGATCGCACCACTCTTTTTACTCATGAGGAGCGCCAATCGCAATCCTTACGAAGTCCAGAAAAACCCGCGGAGGTACAAGCCGTAGCGGAAGCCAGCCTGAGCATCACGAAAAGTCAAGCTGCTGAAGATGATGCTGAGAGGAGGTGGGGTGGTGGGCGGTACAACTTGACACGATATGCAGCCGGGCACTTCGGTCTTCACGCTCAGCAGTGGGAACATTCTGACCTGAAGACGTGGCACAGGAATCTGATGAGCATTCCCTCAGCCACTTGCTCAGCTGCATCAGAGATCGCACCACTCTTTTTACTCATGAGGAGCGCCAATCGCAATCCTTACGAAGTCCAGAAANNGCGGAAGCCAGCCTGAGCATCACGATAAGTC